TTTGTAAATTGGGTTGCAAATGGAGAATATAGGCTTCTAAATTTGATAGATCCGAGAGGTTGCAAGTAAAATCTTACACTTCGGAGCATACCTGTAGCCGGGATCAGTTTAACAGACATTGTAATTACATTTTCTTGACACGTCAATATATTGAGCAATTCAAAGTGGATCCGGACTGGAAGACTGAGTTAATTTTGGCAACAGTAAAGAAGGATCTCCGTACAGATATTAGCAGAAATGTAGCATGGAAGATGCGGAGATATGCAAAAGAACTTTTAGTGGGGACCTTGTGAGAGCAGTTTAGGCGATTGAGATCTTATACAGCCGAGGTACTCTGTACAAATGTTGGCTCGACAGTCATCATTGCATTACAGGATCAGATATTTCAAAGGATCTACATATGTTTCAATTGTTGTAAGATAGGTTTCAGAGATGGTTGTCAGAAAGTAGTTGGTGTTGATGGTTGTCACTTAAGGGGTTGTTTCGGAGGTATAATGTTAACTGCAGTTGGGATTGATGCTAATGATTGCATCTATCCTATTGCCTATGCAATTGTTCAAAAAGAAAATACTGCAGCTTGGCGATGGTTCTTGACCTATCTCTCAGAGGATATTAGGATGGAAGATGGAAGAGGTTGGACCCTAATGACCGACAGACAGAAGGGGCTACAGAATGTGATAAATGAGTTGTTCGCATGGCCGAGCATCGATTTTGTGTCCGTTATATGTATACGAACTTCTTCAATGCTGGGTTTAAAAGTAAAATTCTTAAGAATTACTTATGGCGGGCTGCTAAATCGACCACAGTTGCTGACTATAGACTTTGGATGCAACAAATTCGTCAACTAAGTGAGGAGGCATACATATGGCTTATAGAGAGGAACCCTGAGGAATGGAGTAGATCACATTTTTCAGTTGAATCGAAGAGTGACATTCTGCTTAACAATCTATGCGAGGTATTCAATAAGACATTGCGGTCTGATAGGGAAAAGATGATTCTATCATTGTTAACTACACTACAATTAACCTTCATGACCAGGATTCGCAAACGTCGAGACACAATGATGAGGTGTACACGACGTTTGTGTCCGAAGATCAGTAAGAAATTGCACAACATTGCTGAGAAATCGCGTGAATGTACATTGCACTTTTCTGGTGGTCCGAAATGGCAAGTTGAGTGTAGCTTCGGGACAAGGATAGAAGTTGTGCATGTAGAGAATGGCAACTTACAGGCATACCTTGCATGCATGCAGTGGCAGTAATTAGGGAATGCAGAAATGATCCAGAAGACTTCGTTAACAGCTGCTACACGATTGAGACGTATATGAAGTGCTACAATAGTATCATGCAACCAATTAATGGTATGAAGTTATGGCCCCAAGTTGATATGATCGATATCACTCCACCGTCATGGTGTGTACCGCGAAAGGGCAGGAGACTGATGAATCGAGAAAAGGAGCAGATGAAGAAGTGGTAGTGAATTCACAAGGGAAGACCTATATTCGGAGAAAGGGGCGGTCAACGATGACATGCACATTATGCAGACAGCCGAGTCACAACAAGCGTTACCACTCTAGGCCGGATGCACCGGATTCTGTGAGTAGCATCTTGCTTTCATTGATGTCATAAATCGATGCATATAATATAACTTTATTTTTTTTTCGACAGGAATGGTTTGAAGGAAATTTAGAAGCAGTTGGCACACATCGCGATAGAGCGGTGGACGAACGAGTTAGTAAATGTTTGATTGAGTTTTGTAATCGTTCAATGTTTATTTTTGTTTTTTATACTTTGTATAATATGAAAATGATCTGATTATTGTGCAGCGTAAATTGGTGCCCGCCAGGGGAAATTATCAAGCATCTAAGGATCAAAACCCCCGGNTCAAGCATCTAAGGATCAAAACCCCAGGAACGAAGAAACTTTTAACTTCATTCCAACCCCGATGGTTTCTTGTGAAGCGCGATCCAGCAAAATAACACCTGGTCCAGCAGTAACAATGGCCATGCAGTCAGTTCTATTGGATGTTCCAAAAGATGCAGTGAACTTTAACGATGTTGTAGACGACTTGAATGACATGAGGGATGCGAAATCTGCCTGCTTAAGAGATTCGAGGGCAGGAAAACGACGTCGAGCAACCAACTAAATGTTTTTGCCTTCTAGTTTTTTGGTTTTTGTTGCAACCAACTAGCTGTTGACGAAACACTGGTTTTTTGGCTTTTGAAATCTTCTTTTTTCCAGTGTAAAGGAATTAGGCATGTACATTGTAAACACTGGTTTTTTTGCTTTTGAAATCATCTTTGTCCAGTGTAAAGGAATTAGGCATATACATTGTAAACATATTGTTCCAAA